TCAAGGCAGGAGACAATTTTCCTGATATTGAAAAGGAAATTGGTGTTTTGTTGTTACCACTGTCCATTGCAAAACTGCTTTGTATACAGAGCAGGGAAAAATACCAAGAAGCAAAGAGTCACAAACATTTTAAGTGTAAGCTCCAGCTCTGACTCTATCCCTCTGACTTTGCTTGTACAAGTTACTTCAATACTCTCAGTCTGTTTGTTCTTCAGCTTTAGAATGGGAAGACTGGCCTCAGTTGTGGGTGATCTTGAGAGAGGGTGGGGGAAGGGACTATGTTCCCAGAATCAAGCCTCTCTTTTGTGGCCTTCCTTCCTTCCTCCCTCCCTCCAGGTCTTCACCACTGCCTGGCGCTGACTACAGTCACGTTTCTATTGGCTCTGCTCTCTTCGCTTTTGTCCTGCCGAGCTTTCAGATGGTACCCCAAATGGAGCATACTCTTTGGGTTGACACAGCAAACAGAAGTGAGCTCACATGTCTGTGGCTAAGTTTTCAGCTATGGTGATTTGCTCATGTACTAGAGGAACAAACAGGAAGTTATATGTATTAAAAATAACAGTAGACTTATTTCTCATGTTGGGCACATATACACAACGGTGACTCTATACATCCAAATTACCTGGTTCTGTGTTGAGAAGGTCTAGATATAATGACTACTTCTGAATTCCAAGTTTTATTTCTAAATATCACTCTCCACTAAAGGAAGCCAAATCCCTGCAGTAATGGCTGGTGCCAAGGTTAGAGCAGGAAAATGGAAGAGGAGCATGACAACAGGAAAATCTACCCTTAGAATAGGAATTCATGGGTCTGTACTGATTATTACACAGAATCAAAAAGATGCAAAGGAGTAACACTCTGCCTTGCAGATAATCCCAACAGCTGCTCCCCACCAGGTACGGTGGTATGTGTCTGTAATTGGAGTGCTGAAGGCTGATACATAAGGATCGTTAGTTTGAGGTCAGCCTGGGATTCTTTGGGAGACCGTCTCAAAACAAAAATAAAAACAAACCAATCCTTGAAGATACATGTACTGGCTGGTTTTGTGTGTCAACTTGACACAAGGTAGTTATCAGAGAGGAAGGAGCCTCAGCTGAGGAAATGCCTCCATGAGATCCAGGTGTAGGGCATTTTCTCAATTAGTGATCAATGAGGAGGGCCCAGCCGGTTATGAGTGGTGCCATCCTGGGCTGGTGGTCCTGAGTGCTATAAGAAAGCAGGCTGAGCAAGCTAGGGGAAGCAAGCTATGTAAGCAGCTCCCTTTCATGGCCTCTGCACCAGCTCCTGCCTAAGGGATCCTGCCCTGTTTGAGTTCCTGTCCTGTCAATGATGAACAGCAATGCTGAAGTGTAAGCCAAATAAACCCTTTCCTCCCCAACTTGCTTTTTCGTCATGGTGTTTTGTCATGGCAATAGAAACCCTAACTGAGACATTACATCTTAGTAAAGAGTTAAAAACCTCACAGTCATGAAGCAAGTTGACACTATGTGACTTCTAAAGGAATTCAATGAGACAAACACCTCACTTCTGTTATGTTTCCTTCAGAGGCTCATAAACCACGAAAAGCATCACACACAAAAATCAGAAAAAACGCATACCAAGGGAGGGGCACTATAGCAATTAACCAGCCAGCACTATTAAAAAAATATCAAGGCCGTGTGGAAAGGCTAATGAACTATTTCAGACTGGTGAAAACTAAAGAGGCTGGACACCTAAAAACAAGGGGCCATCTTGGACTGGATTATAGACCTAAGTTGGAAATAACTGGGACAAGTGGTGTCTTAGGGTTTCTGTTGCTGTGAAGAGACACCATGACAAAGGCAAGTCTTATAAAGAAAAACCATTTCTTTGAGTGGCTTACAGTTTCAGAAGTTTAGTTCATTATCATGGCGGGACACGGCGGCATGCAGGTAGACATGGTGCTGGAGAAGGAGCTACATCTTGATCACACAGGCAACAGGAAATGAGCTAAACTAGGCCTAACTTGAACACAGGAGACCTCAAAGCCTGCCTCCACAGGGACACACTTCTTCCAACGAGGCCACACCTACTCCAACGAGGCCCAACCTCCTAATAGTGCCACTCCCTAAGAGCTCATGGGGGCCAATTATATTCAAACTACCAAAAGTGTTGTTAACTTAAGCAGAACCCATGGACTCCTTGGTGTGAAGTTCTGAAGGTCCATGTTCCTTCAAATCCTCATGTTGAAGCCCAAGCCGCATTGCAGCTCTATCGGGATTAGAGTTATTAAGGTTAAATGAGATCATAACAGAGAACAAATGATGAATCAGATGCAGTTAGTGTGCCCATAAGAAAGGCATCACAAAGCTCGCCAACTTCTCCCAGGCATGCTAGTACACATGTCCGATACAAGTGAGGGAGTACCCTTGTGAGAAATGGAGTAGCCAGCACCTTGATCTTGGTTCCCAGCCTCCAGAAACATAATCTATTCGTTGAGTAACCTAGTCTGAAATGTTTTGTTATGGTGGCCCAAGATGATAGCATGGTAATATTAGATTGATACTAAATATCTGATTTTGATAGCTGTGTTGTGTCCTTGTAATCAATATTCGTGTATTAAGTTTAGAGTTCCAGAATATCATGTCTGCTCTCTTCTCAAATGGTATAAAGATCTTTAAGATTAGGGAAACTAGGTGAAGGATAAGTAGGAAATGTATTATTTCTGCAACATTTATGTAACTTTTAAAATTATTTCAAAGTAAAAATTGGAGATTGAAATATTTTAATTATCATCCAGAAACATTTTTCTAAACATGAACTGTCCTTTTCATTATTATATGGGGATTGGATTGGTGCCTATTTTATTTTATTAAAAGAGAAATCTAGAAAGACCCACATCACTTTACTGCAATCAAAATGGCTGTAGCCCAGATATTCACATTCAATTAATAAATAAAAGCATTCATGATTACAACTCTATTAATGACATATTTATACAATTGCTTTGAATAATCTGGGTGAAAAAACACGTGGAGAGAGGAAAAAGGTTGAAGGAAATATACTGTTGGCTTCAAGTGCATTAATGTCAGTACAGGATTTCTTTAAAACTTACAAGTACACTGTCTGCATGTATGTGTGTGCACCATGTGTGTGCAGTGCCTAAAGAGGCTAGAAAAGGGTATCAGAGCCTCTGGGACTGGAGTAAAAGCTCCGAGTCCCCAGGTGAGTTCTGGGAACTGAACCCAGGTCCTCTGCAAGAACAGCAAAAGCTCTTAACCTCCGAGCCATATCTCTAGCCCCCTAGTATGGAATTTGAGTCTACGATGCAGAAAATTAAAACATGACAGCTCTTATCCTGAAAATTTGACCATCTGGTGTAAGAATCAAAGCACATACAGAGGGAAAGGGTGATCAAACACTGCCCTAACAAAATGGAAGCGAATTTGTAGAGTAAGAGTTTTGTCACTTGAGTGACAATGTACTGGAGTGCTGTACTAGACAATGACTTGGTGGCCCCTAGTCAGTTGCTTATTCAAGGTCTCCATCTCCTCTTCGACTACTGATACAGCTGCCTCCTCATCTCTGCCTCCACCCTTGCCCCGTGCAGTCTCACCATGTGACTAGCATCTTCCTCTTCCTTCAGTGTGAATAAAATCAGATCAAGTCACTCCTGTGTTCCTAACAACTAAGCTTCCCTTAGACATGGTTTAAATGGCGTTATCAGGTCTTTGTGTACCTGCTGTGACCCCATTTCCTTTCACCACCAACTCATCTCATTATGCAAGGTTCACACTGACCTGGGTTTTTTGTTTTGTTTTGTTTTGTTTTGGTTTTCTTTTGGGTTATTTAATCCTATCCAACCCACTCCTGCCTCTGGACTTGTGTACAACCTGAGACTGTTGTTTTGTGGGTAGCTCTTTTTCATGGTTCAGGAGTAGGCTCAAATGTCACCTCTAGGAAGACCTTATTTTACAGAGAGACATAACTTGAGTATCCCTCCTCATTGTCACTCTCAATTACTTCATGACACCAACTATTTTGAGAACAGACACTGTTATCTGAAATTCCCTTATTTACAGGTTTATTTTCTGAGTCCTTCAGTAGACAGTGCAATCAATAACAACACTGTGCTTGATTTATTTTGGATGATGCCTCAGCCAAATAAAAAGTGCAAGGAATCAATGTTTACTGACTTAGAATTCTTTAGGCCTTCAGGTTTCTAATCCACAAAGTGGGGATGATTAGACCTACTCTAGCCATTAGAAATCAGACCTAGCTTTTACAAAATTCTTACTATGCCTGAAACAGTGGGAAAATCACTTTATATGCGTATCCTCATGAACTACTGTGATTTCCATTCACGAAATAAGGCCAGCAGGTTACGCAGAAGTTGTAATAAAATAAAATAGATGTAAGGACAAGACCACAGTAAAACCATCAATGCTTAACGTCAGAATCTGCTCTTAGCTTCTATTTAATAGTGGTCTGTGTTTGTCCTATTAGAGAACGGAAGGAAGCTATTACATATTTCCCGGGGGTCTCTGTCTGCACGATGCACACCCTTATTCCTTCACTCCCTCCTTTAAAGGCCCTCATAGCTTGGTCCTTCTGTTCTGAACAAACGCCAGTTTGCGAGAGGCTTGACAAGTTTTTGCTGGGCAAAAAGCAAAGGGGTGTCAGCGCAGTGGAAGACGTCTGCCCACGGGCTGAGAAGATGCAGAATGGGAGTGGGAGGCGGTTTGCGGTTTGTTCCTGAAAGAGGGAAGTTTGCCCGAGCTCAGGTCAGAGGTAGTGAGTGAGCCACGGGGCTAGTGAACTCCAAGTGGAAGCCCGGCGCGAGAGCTGCCGCTGGGGGCCGCTGGGTCGAGACAAAGGCTTGGTGGAGTTTGGGGAGATGGGTGTAAGTGTTACAGTGCAATCCCCAGTGAGGAGCTTGCATGCGGGGGGGCCCACATGCATTCTCCACGAAGTAAATTCAAGAAGTATTAGGGGGAAACAAAGTGCAAGGCACAGCCACCTAGCAGAAAACGCGAACTTACCCTCTTCTGGCCGCCCGGCCTCCGTAGCCCGGCTGCTACCTGAGGAATCTGGTAGTCAAGGCAGCGGCCGGGCTCAGACCCGGTTACCGCGAGACACGGGAGGTCTCGCGAGATCTCGCTGAGCGGTCCTGACAGGCGGGCGTTCTTTCCGGGGGTGGTTATGGGAGGGCTTTGGTGTCCGCGATGGAGGTTCGTCGCCTGGTGTGGCCGGTGCTGGAGCCAGCCTGGGTGGTCGGGCCGGACTGTGGAGAGTGCGGGGCAGGTTCTTAGGTGCGGCTGGGGTGGAGGTGCGGAGCGGGGACTGAGGCGGCTCGGGACATGGAAGCGCCTGAGCGGGGCCCGGGGAGCCGCGGTGCAGCCGCCCCGGCGGCCGAGGAGCGGCAACCCCTTCCAGCGCGCGCAGGAGGACGAGTGGCGGCGGCGGAACAAGACGGTGCTCACCTACGTGGCCGCGGCCGCCGTGGGCATGCTGGGGGCCTCCTACGCCGCCGTGCCCCTCTATCGGCTCTACTGCCAGGTAGGGAGGCGCGGGGTGCGGGGTGGAGCGTCCTGCGCCATCACCCTGCGGGGCCTCGGCATGGGGAGACCCAGGGGACCTGTCCAGGGGTCCCTTCGGCTCCAGACCCGGACAGACGTGCTCAAGGTCACAGTTCCGGTGATGATGGAGCGTGTGTACCACGCCTCGGAAGGAGTGAGCTTCACAGGCATTCTGTGAAGTACAGGGATAGGGTCCTCCTGGGGCTCTTAGATACCTGGAGGTTCCACGGGACAACCCCGTCCCTAAAGAAAAAAAAAGGATTTTCCAACCTAAAATGTCAGTCCTACTGAGACCTACAGATAGGAAGTCATTGACACTCCTGCGTGTGTATGTTCACATTGCCTTCGTCAGGCAAGGCTAGGTTAACGTTAGCTTTTTTAAAAAGTAACCTTAAAATCAAGTTCCATGTTTAACACTGGTATGTCCGTAAGAATGCCCTGGTACTGTGGAATCACCAAGTTTTAGAGCAAGAAATAAGGAAGTAAATATAGGAAGCCAGTTTATGAGCCAATTAAAATGTAATCCAGCCAAACTATGATTGCCTTGGTTAGTAGGAGATCTGGGCTTGAGCCCAGGACATCATTTTAATGACTGTTTTCTACCTGTTTGTCAATTTTAGTTTAAGGCACCTAACTTGAGAAACTTCAATAATATATGTTCCAAAAATTTATAAGGGGCTGATAATTAAGAACACTTAAATTGCTTTTTATTCAACTGACTTAAATTCTTTTGGGAAAAATAGTTTGTCTTAAAATTCAATCTCTTAAACAGAAGTATACACTTACCTGGGAAATAAGGTCAAGTACTTGCCCTGTGATTTATCTTTTAGGATTAAAATGTAATTTGACAATGTTGAGAGAAAATGAATGAAACTAAGTAACTTGTGTAACAAGCGAAAGATAATAAAATAGTAATATGGTAGTTTTAGGAGTCTTCCATTAGTCTAAAATTGGCTTTCTGTTTTCCTAGTGTAGGAAATGTAAATTATCTGGAAATCAGAATTCTGTTAACCTCAAGCAGCAGAAGAATATCTTAGAAGTAGCATCAGCCCCACATCTGATAAGGAAATCATAGCAATGAGGAAATGTCAAACAAAAATTACTGGTACTTTATGGTAGTTGACTGGGTAACCAAAAATAAAAACCTAAAAATGGGTCAGGTACTCATTAACTGGTGATGAAGGATAAAAGATCTCTGTGTATGTGGAGAATTACAGGTAAGTGTCAGAAAAATCATTGATCCACCCATATGGGGAAACATTTATGATGCCCAAGGAAAGCAGAATATAAAAATAAAACTATGAACTGATTTCATCCATAAAAGCTATAATACAGAAAAGGATAAACACATGGATAGTTCTGTGTTTTAATTGAAATGACCAGGTTTGGATTAAAATTTCTTTTTTTCAGTGAATAATTGGTTATGTAACATACACTAACAATAAAGGGAACTGTTTCATGAAAGGTTACACTTCAAATTTTTGTTTTATACTCAGTAATAATAGCTTGTCTTCAAAATCTGCTTTTTTAAAATGACTTGCTGAAAAAATAAGAATCACTTTAACAAATATAGGCAAACCATTGACACAATTAAAGGAAATGATCGGGGGAGTATACAGTTTGGCTCAAAGTAGAACATTTAGTTGTTTTTCAAATTTTACTTTTGTCCAGGAAATAAATGAAGATCTAAAAACCGTTGCTTAACATATCCAGTGTCTTGTTTTAGACTACGGGACTTGGAGGATCAGCAGTGGCTGGGCACTCATCAGACCAGATTGAAAACATGGTGCCTGTTAAGGATCGAATCATTAAGGTCACCTTCAATGCTGATGTGCATGCCAGTCTCCAGTGGAACTTCAGACCTCAGCAAACTGAGATATATGTGAGTGACTAATGGATTCATCTGTTAACCCATCTGTGCTAAAGTGTTACACCCTTCTAAACTCACTGAAAAATGCTAGTACACCCCATAAGTAATTATTACACTTGATAATATTCATGAGATAGAATTCATGAAATGGAATATGTTAGTACTTTGAAATGTTTACTTTTTGATAGTACCTTACATTTAAATGTAACTGTGACATTTGGGGTTTCTGTAACAGTCTCACCCTGTAGCCCAGGCCAACCTCAAACTCATGATCCTCCTACCTCAGCTTAGCCTTGTTTGCTATTATTCTTGATTTCTCAGTACATTAACCTCTGTTTAAACAAAGTTTTTTTTTTTGGTTTTTCGAGACAGGGTTTCTCAGTGTAGCTTTGCGCCTTTCCTGGAACTCACTTGGTAGTCCAGGCTGGCCTCGAACTCACAGAGATTCACCTGGCTCTGCCTCCCGAGTGCTGGGATTAAAGGCGTGCGCCACCACCGCCCGGCTTTAAACAAAGATTTTATTTAGTCAATTTGACTTTGGTTGTGAACTTATTGTAAATAGATTTAAAGTTAGTTTAACATTGATATCCCCTTAAAAATATTCAACCATGGCATTAAGATCTAATGAATGAGAGGTATAGAGGCATGTGTTATGTATGGTGCTGGCTATATTTTAACTTTTAATCAACTTAAAATAATGTCATGTGTTTGTAATCATGTGATTAAAAGTTGACTAAATCCTTTGGTCATTAATGTTGAGTTTAGCAGTGCCTAATCATGTTATATAGATTTCCTAACTTTTACTATGGTATAAATGATAATAGAAAAAATGTGGAGACTCATTGGTCATAATAAGTAATTTACTGGTTTATCACAAGTATTTCTGTCTATCAAAAAGAAAAAATACAATTTTGGGAGGAGGAGAAAGTATTGAGGTATGAACCAACGGTCTTGTATGTGCTGGGGAAGCAGTCTACCACTGAGCTAAACATCCGCACTAAGAAAAAATTTTAAACATGTGAAGTAATTATTTCAATAGTAACAGTAGTCACATTATACTCCAGTATCATTGTATCCAAAATGCTTCTAAATTTTTACTAATTGCAGTCCTGGGAAGATTTGAGGTGAATGTTTTTTAGAGGTTTCAGAATGTAGATTAACCTCAAGAGCCTTAATTTCAAATGTTATTAACAAACCCTTATAAAACATAGTGCTTGCCCAGTTTACTAAACATCACTTAATTTTCATTAAGGATTTTGTAGGTTATGATTTTGAATAGTGGTACAAATTGCATGGCAGTAAACAGGGTGATGGCGAATTGGTACAGGTGACAGAATGTCCAATGGAAATTTTTTACTGCCTTTGTTGCTGTTTTTAACTTCCAAAGTACTAACTCCTTTTAGTTTAACAGATTTTGTTCAGTCAGTTTTACACTGGTTGTAAATTTAAGTTATTTAGAATTGAGGTAAGTTTAACATTGGCATCCTTTAAAAAATTTGGCAATCATGACATTCAGGTTTAACTGTTATCAAGTAGTTGGGCTTGAGCTGTGGTTTGCCTGGCTTGTCCTTGGACACATTTTAACTAATGGTAGATTATTTCTTGAAGACATCAGACAACCAACTGGGATATTCATAACTAATTCGTTACTGACATAATTAAATACAATCTGAAACTAAGATAGGCTTGTGGCAATATTCACAGTACATTGCTTTAGGTAGTATGGCTCAATGAATAGGAAAATAATATGACTTTTAATTTAGCAGAGGGAAATAATAGTATCAACTATATTGTGTATTTATTGAAACAGGTGGTACCAGGAGAGACTGCACTGGCATTTTATAAAGCTAAGAATCCTACTGACAAACCAGTAATTGGCATTTCTACATATAATGTTGTACCATTTGAAGCTGGACAGTATTTCAATAAAATACAGGTAAACTGAATAAACTTTATGATAAAAGTATGTGAAACTGCTTAATATGAATTAAATGCTTTTAATTCTAAAGTTCATTTTCTGGCTGGGTCTTGTCTGTAATCCTCGTACTCAGTAGGCTGAGGAGGGAGCAGTGCTGTGAGGTAGAGTCTAGCCTGCATGTACATATGCAGTGGGTTCTGAGCCAGGCTGGGCTACACTGTGAAACCCTGTTTAGGGGGGGGGGGGGGGGGGGGCGGGGAGGAAGCCTAGATCAATCAATACTTACTTCTTCTAAACATAAAGCTATTTTTTTAATCTTCATTGCTTATACCATCTAGCTGGAGAGCGAAGCCAAATCTGTGTTTGCTCCTTTTGTTTGTTTGAGAAAGGGTCTATGTATCCTGGCTGTCCTGTAGCTCTGTAGACCAGGATGACTCAAACTCAGAGATCCACCTGACTCTGCCTTCCAAGTGGTAGAATCAAAGGGCTGTACTACTACACCTGGCTACTGTATTTGCTTCTAAGATTAGAATTAAATTGTTTCCTAACCCTTAAAGCCAAACTCAGTCTGTGATGAAAAGATGCTGCTATCCTATGATGGTGCTTAAGGACAGGAAATGAATATTGCTTTTAATAGTAATAGAGCAGGAATGTTACTAACCAAGTGTCTTTCTGTAATTTGTAGTGCTTCTGTTTTGAAGAACAAAGGCTTAATCCACAAGAAGAAGTAGATATGCCAGTGTTTTTCTACATTGACCCTGAATTTGCAGAAGATCCAAGA